ATTTTTATTAGAACATGTTATTAAAATATTAAAAGAATATTACTGGGCCAGGGAAATAGCTCTGGTCTAAGTACCTACCTGGCAAGTGCAAAGACCAGGGTTTGATCCCCAGTATTGCGTTCTGTGCCAACCCCAGTGCTGTGCCAGCCACTGGAACTGGGAGTGGTGGCATGTGCCTGTAATCCTAGCACTGGGGAGGCTGAGACAGGAGAATCACTACAAGCTCAAGCTGTGTAGCAAGACCCTACACTAAATAAATAAATAAATAAATAAATACAAACAATTTTAAAAAATGAAAGAATATTACTACCCTTCATCCTCATCAAAATGCAGACACATAATTGTTTGCAAAAATATTAGCATGATCAGTCAGAAAAAAATAAGTTTGTGGTTTATGCTAGAAGATTTTTCTAGAAAGATCAGCTTTCTTTTTATATTGGTCCGTTCAGTGTTGAACGACTTTCCACGGAAGTAAGAGCAGACACATCTGGGCAGTCCAGCTCGGGAAACGGCACCGTCCCTTGCTCCGGTGCACGGGCTGCTTTCTGATTGTCTGACCTGCCCAGAGAGGGAGCGTGGAAGGGAAGAGGGCTGGAGCCGCCAAAAGGGTTTTCAGCAAGAAACACCTTTCGCTGAAAAATTTAGACTTCTCTTAAGGTGCTACAGAACAACACACTATGGACAAACTGTATTATCCAAAAGGAGAACTTTCTCTCCAACTATTTTAAGGAAGCCCATTTTAAAGTGATTTTTAAATCGCCTTTCTTCTATGTTCTTAGACCATGATGTACAACTCTTGCAAAATTATTTTGATTGCATATCTTAGCTATAACATAAATTAGCTGCAGTAAGTTAAACTGGACCTTAATGATAGCAAAGCATACTTCAGTGACTTTCCCAGCTTTTCCCTTTATACCAGTTAATGTAAACAGCAATGCAAAGTCTTGCCGAATCAGGGAAAGTCACTTCCTGCAATGTTAACTTTTCTGATCTATATATGATTTACTACGATGCTCACATTATGCAAGAATTAGTAGCCTTAATGAAAGAATAGATTTCTAGATCCAGTGGTACTTAATGTCTTTGCAAAATAAGAGCTCGTGAAACAAAAGTATTCTTAGAAAGGCAGTGTTTTTACAGGTCGAGAAGCTGCTAAAAGTGTGATATCAAAAATGATCCTGACATTCAGACTCAAAACATGAGTTTTCCTATTAAATATCTGTTAAGAGAACATAAATCTTTTGTTCAGTATAGTCTCTCAACTGGAACAAGCAAGGTCGCAAACAACTTTTCATTAATCTTTTCTGACCTTTTCCCTAAGAGTTATTCTGCGAGTCAAGATGTAGTGACTGGCACAGTTACTGAATGATCTGGGAGGTCCTCCAGGCTTAATCTCACCAGAAATCTTCTGCATTCTTATCTCCCCAGCAAACGTAGAGGTGACACACGAAACTATTTCTATCCACCTAGGTGGAAATTAGCTAAGCAATATGTTGTCTTGACTTGAAACTGTACACAGCTCCATTTCACGTGGAATAATTTAATTTACTCATTAAATTCAGATGCACTAAAAGCAATTGGATCCAGGTAAGGCAAAATGTAACTATTTCAGGTCTTCGGATTCTTTGTTGTGCCTTTTCTTTCTCAGGAGACAGGTTCTTTACCTCCAGGCCTTTTATTATCGTAGAAAATTAATCACATTACTGCTTAGAGAACAATAGCATGGCAGCGTTCCCTCCTCCCTCAACTGTCATCGTGGCAGTAATGTTACAGCCATGTGGAGACTTTATTTTACTTGATTTCTTTAAGGCTCCCTTCTCTGTTATAATGGCTTGGAGTTACTATCACGGAACTACATCGTAATTATAATAATGTTTTATGGCTGTACAGTGCTTTTCATAGCATAAAATGCTACTTGGAAGTATATCTTATTCAAAGCCCTTTACAAATAAGAAATAATTAACCCTTTCTTGAGAACCCTGCAGGAAGTAGGTGGGAGCAAATAATAAAGGCAACATTCCTATTGTATCAGTTCCCTTCACATGCTAGTGGTAAAGGACACTATAACGTAACAGTCTGCACTAAACCTTAACTCCAATAACTTCCCAGTTGGAAACACACAGATTACTATAGATAAAATGAGGAAATCTTCCATTTGGAAATTACATTTTAATATTCTGCAGGGATTTTTGTTAATCAAAAGCCTCAGGAAGAAAACTTGATTTAATGTTTTCTGCAATAAAGTATTCACTGCAATATGTGATTGAATAAAATACATCGCACTGGAGGTTGTTAAAGTTCAGCACCAACATCACCTGGTGGGCATCTTAAGTGACCCTGGGTCCACCCTGGAGCTGTGCACTGGAGCCTTAATATCCATGTTTCTATCAGAGTTAGGGGATGCCATTCTGCCCATTTAGGATCCACATTTTGAGATCAACCCCCAAGGTCAACGCCCAGGGGGTTGGTTGCGCTATAAAAATGGAATTTTCAAGCAGTAGGGAAATTATTTTATATCTCTTTCTGAACATCTATTCATTTTAGGTTTTTTAGCTATTATTAACACAATAACTAAGCTTTTGCTAACACAATTTTTGCTATAATTAACACAAAGAAATATATATATTGTCCCTTTCTTATAAATATAATGAAGTCCTAAATTAATGGATTCAACTTCTACTATGCAAATTATTAACTTCCTTTGTTTATTTCTTAATTATATAGACCCTGCTCCTGAAAGCACACATTTTAAGAAGGCAAACAACAAATTTGCTTCTCCTGACTAGAGGAAATCTAGTGAATCACTACAATAGTACCATATAGGGAAAGAGAAGTCAAAGAGGATCAAGATGTGTTACGTGCACATTCAACGTTGAATATATTTATTATGTATGGCAAACATACCCTAATAAGTTTTTAAATTAAAAGCAACATACATATATAATCTTTTAATCATGCAATCTTGGTGCTTTATAATGTTTATCTGATGTCCCCTTCTAGAACCGATCACGTTTCAACTATTGAAATTACCTTGAGTACGCACAGGATCTGACATAGGACTTGGGTCACTGAGACCTTGGGGGTTGATTGCTCTAACCATGAATAAGTAGATTGTATTGGGCCGCAATCCTCTCACGGTGTAGAGGGTGGTCTTTATATGGTTTGCCACTGTCTGCCAGCTATTGCTCACGGATTGGCTGAAACATGAACAGAAATTTCATTTAAAAAACAGTCATAAAGCTATTGGAAATGGAACTGGGTATCAATGACAAAAGTTAATGACTGGAAATTAAACCTATACATACACACACAACACTTGAAGTGTTCAGCCCAATAAATGAAATATTAGGATGGTTTCAGTTTATTCAACAACAAAGCCAAGCCCACCTAAGGGAAGTGCCATGCACAACAAAATTAAACTCATCCCAGAAGATGTGACTGCCCTTTGCTAAATGCCCAGCAGCTCACTAAATCAATACCTGTAAAGGAACAGAGACCAATATCACATCAAGGTTATACAATAAGTATGGTCCTCATAAGTGCATATATATATATATATATATATATATATATATATATATATTGAAAAGAATTAACCTACAGAAAGAATAAATGGACTGCAGAGTAAATTATGCCAATACATTTGCTATTGCAAGGTGTGTTTTCTTTTGCAGCAATTCCACATGCAATATTATAGTAAAGCCTTCTAAAACTACATATCTGTAAAAGAAGAAAGGAAGCATGTAATGAATATTTCCCTTGGTTACATTTTTAATAAAACTGTACATTACACAGTATTGTGATTTCTCAGAATAGCAAAATATTTCTGAATTTGTGTGCATGAACTTCTTCATAGTCAGCTGAAGATGGATGACATAGTACAACACTTTGTTTAAATTTAAATGCTACCTTGTCTTAGATAAGGAGAAAAATATGATTTTAGGTTTGTGTCCCTATTTTAGATATCTTTAAGAATTAAAGATAAAATTATAGAAAAGAATATGTTTTGAAATTTGAAAACGATGTATCCAATTTTATCTTAAATATGGATTAGAGAAGCTTAACTTGAAAGTGGCTATCTTTCAAACTACAATATGAAACTCATACCACTGAATATGAAAGGACACTAAATCCATCTTCTCTTATGTATAGGTATTTTACCAAATTCCTGTAGGACAATTTGATAATGATATTTCCTAATTTATTATCTGTATCTTTAAGTTGATGACAATTATTTACAATAATACCTAGAAATATTTTTGTTTCAGAAATTATAAAGACATGGCATTGATTTCTTAATTGTGGTTTTTGTATCATCTAAATATAATATTCAATAGATGTATTCCAGTGTATAACATAAAGATATTAGAATTATTTTATATTCTAATCCATTTATTGTGAATGACTCTTCCAGAGTTTCATGCTACAATAAAAATTGCATGAGTTTAAAAATACTTGTGCTGAATTAAAAGTATTTTCTGCTTAGTTCTTTTTTTTTTTTTTTTTGCAGAACCAGGGATTGAACTCAGACCCTTGCACTTGCCGGGGAAGTGATTATTCCACTGAGCCATCTCCCCGGCCCCTCTGCTTAGTTCTAAGGATCAAATTCTCATTTTCAGTACATACAATTGTCCTTATTCCTCAGTAAGGAACTGAGCTAACTAGTTATATTCCTTCCTTCCTGTAGAGCTAAAACAGATAATGAATATTTAATATTATTAGAAAAGTCAAGTCTCTTGTTAAAGTCAAATATAAAACGTAAGTTCTTAGAATGCATTGATTGAATATTTGTTCTACATAATACACCACGATAGTTCAGTTGAGATTTTACTATCTAGGAATTAAAGCAAAAATCAAAGGCAGAAACAAGAACTGTGTCCTACCTGAAGGCCTCAATGATATATGCGCTTGCTGGAAGAGCTCCAGGGGGACCTGGCTGCCAGGACAAGGTGACACTGTTCTTAGTAACATCTGTAACCTGTGGCTTAGATGGTGGCCCTGGCAGGTCATTTAAATCATAATTTTTACTGATTGTTGGTCCAGATTCTGTAATAAACAGACAAAAAGGAACTTTAATTTTCATTGCATAAGCTGTCACTGATGTTTCAAAGAAAGAAACAGTTTATTAAAGAAGACCTGGCAGTGAGCAATTCATCTTAATGAATCAGAAATACATAAACAAATATCTGCTTCTTCCAAATTAACAAATGGAAATTTTATTTTCCTCCATGATGGCTAGAAGTGCTTGCACTTCACGGAAAGTAAAATAAGAAAGTCATCAAGAACAAGTGTAATCAATTGCACAAATGCAATGTTATGTGGTGAATGTTGGTAGAAGAATTAGAAATGTCACTAAATGCGAAGACTTAGATTTAACTGTCACTGAATTTACAACCACAATCTCTCCTTAACTTACTGTTTTCTAATCATCTCTCAGAGGGAGTTGAGCCTTCCCACCCTTCAGGTTATTCACGAAGGACTCACCTGTCACATCCAGCACCGCACTCCAGGCGGTCTCTCCACTTGAACTCGTAGCCACGCAAGTGTAAGTGCCACTATCAGAAATCTAGCACACAGAAAAGGGAGACACTTGAAGTGTAATCAGCTTGGATAATAACTACTCACCTCCCAACCAGGCAGTATTTACTTTCACAAATTGAGACATACCAATTGGCTGTCCAATATTTTCATTAAAGTCAACCATGTGTATAAATAAAACATGAAAATTAACTCATTTAATATTACTAATGTTGATTTAAATTTTTTAAAGTGTAACTTTATGGCAAATGCTATTTAAAAATTGTATTTGCATTTTTGTTTCCTTTTTCCATGGCATTATTTTTATCTCTTAAGTCCATCTTCTGGTACAATTTTACTGTGTCAGAGCTAGATACACATAACTCAGGACAGAATTGTTTCACAACCCCATAAGCTTGCAAAGTGTCAGTAATGCAAAGAGGCTTTTCTTTTTCTCAGGTAAAAAGTATTTCAATAGAGAAAATCTATGTAGATATAAGTAAGCAATGAAATAGCAGTGGGCCCCATTTCCCTTGTACAAAGAGAAATATAGTGAAAGAAATCATTTTTACAAGAGGTGCTGATATCTGGGATCTGAGCAACTACATGAGGACAGCGATGTGTAACACAAAACTCATGGTTGAATGCCTCTCATCTTGGTCTTCTAAATATGCTCTGTTTCTAATGTCTTATCAATTGTTATACTCTCTTAAGTTAAAAAAATAAGGAAAAATATTAAGATTTCTTGAAAGCAAGCGTTAATATTCAATCATCTGTCAGATCTTATGTAAATGTATCTGTTAATCTGAGCAACAGATTTGACATTAAAAATACATAATATAAGAATCATTGTTAATTAGGTATTCCTGTTTTGAAAATCCGTAACATATATACTGTTGTATGTTACCCTGTTTCTGCCATTTTTTTCTGTTTTGCTTCTTTTTTTTCACTCTTCAAAATAAAATAAAATTAAATATAAAGAGTTCTATTTTTTCCTGTTAAGAAATAACTTCTCACCTATTAAGTGGAGCAGTATACAGTAAACAAGTAAAGTTGCAGCATTATGAAAGAAGCCAACCATTCCCACAGAGTCATTGCAATTTAGAATTTAAAAGGAACTTGAAAATAATCTCATATATAATTATTTTTAAAGAAACATTTAACAACTTTCATTTCATTGACCACTTAAAATGTTTTGTTTTTCATGGAAGAGTGTCTGAGAACTTTTTAAAAAAGAGTTGGGAATATAATCAAGAGTTCTGCCTTATACATGTACACGTCAAGTCAATGTATACTTTGAAAACAGCCCCATGATGCACTGTTGTCAGACCCTATTGGCTGACATTGCCAACAGTAGTCATTTGCATTAGGTTAGGTGTACAGGAAAAGGGGGCGGAGAAGAGCACTTGATCGACAAGGAGAGTAAGACCCATAGAAGGAGTAGAATTAAAGTTCCACAAGGAAAATGGGTCTCATTGTTGGATAAGTGTGGAAGTACATAGAATATTCCATCCGATGGGCTTGAAATGTAAGTGTACTAATGACTTTAGCTTTCACAACTGGTTCTCAAATAAAACAGGAGTGCATGAATGTCGCTGCCATTTCACCATTTTAATTGATTTTAAATGTCATTATGTGTTTTAACATAAGTTTCAAATTGCTCTGGCATGTCATTCTTTACCTTACCATCTTTTTACAATTGTCTTCTATTACACAGAAGCATGATGGGAATAGCCACAGCGGAAGGAGTCATTCTTTCCATTGTGGCTGTATGCACATTATAGTCATTAGAAATCTTTGCATTTAAGAAGCATTACTCACAAACTAAATATAATGAGCCAAGGCTGGATTCTAATGGGATGTTCATTTGAATATGGACTGTGAAAGAGCAAAAGAATTTGCATTTTATTATAGCTGTTAAACTAAAATGGAGCCCTTGTTATTCTCTGCAAATGCTCAGAGAAGAGTATGTAGGTAATGCATCTTAACTGCATTTCTTTGTCAGTGTAGGAAGATGTAAGTCTGACATTAGCTGTGGTAGGTAGGCTTTAATGAGTTCTGGAATATTCTACTTCCCAAAAGATAACAAATTTAGTTACCAATTAGCTGGACTGTGACAACACAGCATTCATCATGCTACTTTTTTTCTTCATTAAGTAATAAAATAAAAGTAGGGAGACATGGAGGCATATGGCCTATAGAAGGATCTCTCGAGATTGCATGCGGGAAGTATCACTAGGTTCCTTTTAGTCTCTCCTTCAACATAGTCATTTTACAAAAACAAACAAAACTCAATGTGCTCCATTTGCAGTTTGAGATGTTAAATGGCTAAATATTACTCGTTAAATTTCACTGTTCTACCACCATCAGCTTCCATCATCACATTTATTTTATTGTTTTCACTTTAGTTATTTTTGTTGGCATTGTTTTTGTTTGGGTCAGAAGTCCTTCTATCTATTCCCATCCTTATCCTCTGATTCTTAACAAATGCCTTTAAAAAGAAATTAATGTGTAGCATGCCCCATCACCTACCAGTGTCTTTTGTGAAGTTGGCTGCAGTCAAGCCCTCAGCAGCAGAAATCTATGAGACAGACTACTGAGAAGCCTGTCAGAGGGCTCCAAGTTTGACCTCATCAACACTCACCTTCAGCTGCTCCTTGCATAATCTACTAGATATCTTGAGTACTCAAGCACACTCTCAAACTCGGCAAAACAGCAAAAATGCATTAGCTTCTATGGCTGAAGTGGGCATTCAGACCAAAGAGAGTGGCTGAAGGGTTTACATAGGAGAATTGGCATTAATTTTTTAATAACTTCCAATTGTTCCCAGAAAGTCAGCAACTAATTTATAATCAATAAAAAGACTTAGAAGAGTCTTGTTAATTTATTTGCCCTCATCTAAACTTGCCAGCAGATTTCTTAGACAAAAAATTAATGCCTGAACCTCAAAATCACAGTTAAAAGTCATACATATATTAATATATTATATTTTGTTCATGTATGTTTGAATCATTCTTCTATTTGCATTTGTATGATATAGAGATAAACAACTAAATAAACCATAATAGTAAATGTACTTCCACCCTCAGAGTGTGATTGTCCTCAGATGAACAAATATGTAGAAAACATTTTTCCCTTCCTCTCTCTGATATGAATGTAAAAAACTCAGCAACATTATGTTGTTTCTTTCCCCTTCATTTGGTTCTTAATTTTACTAGTCCACTAGATTATTTTAGTTGGGCTTCCACTAAACCCTTTTCTAGCTATTTGGCTTCATGTACTATGACATCAGCTACGTTAGTGCTGGTTCTCCTCCTCAGTCTTGTGATTCCCACAATGCACTGCTCTCCTGAGGGCAGTGCTTGCTACCTGGGCATGCTAGGATAGATTTACTGTATTTCATCAAATGAACCAATTACACTGGAGGAGGACAGATTCTTCACATTAACATCCAACTGGGTTTCCCACCTTATATAATCTTTCACCTGAATAGAGTATAGGTTGGACATTTATATTTGCTTCTGGCCAATATACTATTTAAAGATTTCAGTACAGACTGCTTGTGATTTTTTCACATGCAATTATAATCTCCTTCCTAGGAGATTTTCTTCCTTAATGACTTTAAAGAAATACCAAGTCATACCAGTAAAAATTCACACAGAGACTAAAGGCAGGCTCCAGGCAATAGTCAGCAAGATGCTGAGCTTGCTACTCAAATATCCACAGGAACTCTACACAGTACTACCAACAGACTTGTGGCCTGGAAGCGAATCAATCCCCCATCAATCATCCGATAAGATCATAACCTTAATCAAGTAGCTCTGTGAACTCCTGAAGTAGAAGGCCTATCTAAGTCACTGCCATAGTTCTAACTCATACCAGCTACCACAAAATAACTGTGTACTATTTTAAACCTCTTGTTCATCGCTAATAGTTACACGACAATATATAATTAATGCAATATTCAGAAGCACACATTTTATTTTGGATTGTCCTTGAAGCAGAACCAATTCAAATTTCCAAGAATAGTTATTACCTTTCACATCAACTTCAACGGAAAGACTACCAATGACTATTCTCCATTCGGAGGTTTAAATATAAATCTAACAGTAATTTCATCCCAAATCCAAGGGCTCGCTCTGTATACCTGACTGACTAGCACCCTCGCCGTCAGTCGTATTTCTTTATTTTTTCACACAAGTATAAAAATGGCCAATCAAAGTTATCTATAATTCTCCACAATCTTCCTTTACAAGTGAGCATAAAATCACTAAAAAATCTCTTTTAGAAGCTTTAGACATCTTGTATACTATTATTAATTCTAACTGGTGTAAAGCTTCTTTTCTATTTTTTTTTTTTTCATGCAGGGTCTCACTACCCAGCCCAGACTCGTAATGATCCTCCTGATTTCTGCCTTCCTAGTGCTGGGATTACAGGAAAGTGCTACCATGCCCAGACTCTGGTGTAAAGTTTCTAGCTTCAGTGATTTCATAAATATGAGGTAGTATTTCAGAATAAAAAGATTGTATGTATCTTATGAAATTATGACTAAAATAAGGACAAAATCTTCCAATTCAATTAATCATTTTAAAGGAAGAGACATGACTTATTATAAAATGTGCACCAATTACACTGAAATGTAAAATTCTAAGTTCATCAGTTTTTCCCTGGAACAGTACTTACGCCAAGAAGAGTAAAGAACAATCAATTACGTTACTTACCCGTAAGTTCCTAATCTGCAGTGTTCCTTGATCTTGGATAGTTGCTCTTGGATCTCTACCCAGGAAAGTGAATCCCTCCTTTAACCAGCTAATTACAGGAAGAGGGTCACCAGTGGCTTTACATTTCAGTAACGCTGTGCCTTCTACTGCTAATGTTTGGTTTACTGGGCCTTGTAGGATTATTGGTGGAGGTCTATCTGTCAGAACTATAGAATAAAAATATAATCAGGATATTTTCACTTTCATGACATACAGTAGTTTGTGATACTGACATTGAAAGAAAGTTAAAACCCCAAAGTTATACAAATTCCTCACAATTTATTCTGTATATTTAATGCCTATTAGAGGACTCCCATCTTTACTACTATAGATGCATCTATATGTGCTGTACTAAGACCACAGTATTGTTCATAACTTATTCTATGCTATAATTCATGTAGAATAATTAAACTGAGATAAAGCCTGACATCTTAGAAAAGTGTATTTGTACCTGTATTAAAATTAAAATTACTATTACAATGAATAGTTTATACCAGTCATTCATAAAATCATTCATTTTATCACTCAGAGGCATACTTAAGAAAGCCCTAGAAGGATCTTATAAGTAGAATCAACTTCACATATGTTTTCTTTTTAAATATATGCACAATTGATAATTTACTCCTTATCATTCCAGTGTGTGCTATATTTATATTAGCTTGATGATGGTTAAGTACTAAATAAAAAATGTATTTCCTAGCTTATGATCTTAGTTCTCCAAATCATGGTTTATTTTCATGATTTTATTGAATCATACAATTATGGAAAATAAAGCCCTAGGAGTATTTTATAGTAGTAAGACTATGATATGATTACAACTGAAATTTCATTATATATTAATATATATATATATATATATATATATATTAATCCTTGTGTTTATTTGAGTACATTTTCCATAATCTAATAAGCTTTTACTGTACTATGTTTTGTTTATAAAATATTTAATGCAGAAGTATCTTTCATGCCAGCAGAAGTATTTAAAGATTACATAAGAAGGACATGAATGCTCAGCAGTATTTACTTATTTATTTACTTATTGGTGGAACCTGGTATTGAACTCAGACCCTTGCACTTACAAGACAAACACTTATTCTACTGAGCCATCTTGTCGGTCCCTGATCAGCAGTATTTAAATGGTATATGTAAAAATGCAGTTAAAAGAAGATAAAATTACACTCAGAATACATTAGAATCAAACTAACATGGTCCTCTCCAATGAAGGCTTTCTTAAGAAAAACTTCAGTGACAGCATATAGAGCACGGATTTTGATTAATTTTCCACAAAGTCTATATATATCTCCAATTACTGATCAGCCAATGTGAGGAGGAATAGTCTACCTGGGAAGGGCATCTCACATTACAATGTGCAGAATCAGAAAAGTGACATCATTTTGCTTGATGCTGTAATTCCCTTTGCCCTCTAGCTCTTATAAACACCAGCTTACATGACTAGTGCCTAATGTGCATATAGCACCTTTATTATTTGAATTTACGGAGTTGGGGAAGAAATCATTAAAATTATCAGGCAACTGAAAATATTCCATGAGATAATTTATAATTCAATTTAAATGTTATGATATATGTCCCTTGAATATTAAAGTACTATGAACTAAATCAACCTGAAGTCTACTGTGTCAACCATAAAAACTTATGAGAAAAATCACAAAAAAGTTGTTCCTCACAAACTAAAACTGGAAAAATTTATTTCACTGGTTTTCTTGTTCATACTCTTCAAGTTAGAAATAGATGAAGTAATCATGATAAGTGAGAACATAATATTACAATTCTGACACATTATTACAATAATTGGGCAAAAATAAAATCAAATGAAAGTTTTATGTAACGCCTGGAGAAATGGCTCAGTAGAAAAAGCGTTTCTCTGGCAAGTGCACGGGTCTGAGTTCAATCCCAGGTTATGCCAACACAAAACAAAAAAGAAAGAAAACAAAGTTTTATGTAATTCCTTCATTACTCAAAATCAGAAGACTAGTTCAAAAAACCTTATAAATAATTTTTCAGTTCAAAGAGAAAATAAATTTTCCTTATTCAAGAAGACTTTAGTTATGGAATTTGAAGTGCCATTTTTTTTTTGTTTCAAGTTAAGTGTTAATATAGAGTACTAAGAACATCTTATAACCCGTTTTCATTGCCATATTTCTAAAATAATTAGAGAAAGCCAAAGATTATTTCCTTTGGAAAGGGAGAGATAAATTCTGGAGCATGTAAATTGCTGAATCTTGCTTCTGTTTTACCTAGCTTGCTGCAAGATTTCTCTATGCAAAGTGCGTTGGTGATCTAAGCACGTGAGTTTGTTTCAAGTACGTGTGACCATCACTATCTTAGAAATCAGCAAGCAGTAAGACAGAAGCCGCATACATATACAACATAATTTGCTTATTGTCTCACGTAAAATGTTGTAATGGCAACATTTTCTTTTACCAAGTTAGCTCTCTCTCTCTTTCTCCCCCTCCTTCACTCCCCCTCCCTCCCTCCCTCCCTCCCAAAATTAGTAGCTCATCTTTTCATGACTTTCATCAATACGGTAAATGAAAATTTCCTAGCCAGAATTCTTAGTTTCAAAGGTGTTCTCAGTGAAAGACCAGAGACCTATCTGCCACTAAGGTCAAAGTTTAAATGAACATTTAGGGTTTCAATGGTCTGTGAACAACTCCACAGTCTTCCCTAACTATGCATTATAAATCCTTCATACATGATTCATATCGGATCGTGGTGTGACATTTATTGTCAGTATCACATATAAATATCTTTCTAGTCATTTTAGATTCTAATGCATGGCTCTACCCACAGAATTTTCATTAAAATTTTCATTTTTCTAAGGATAAAATTGCAGAAAATAAAGAAGAAATGAAAAACAGTGCTAGCATATAAATAATATCTTTTAGAAATATACTTTAAGGAACATTTAAACATCTGAGCTCATTTCACAATAAATTATTCAAGAAGGCACTTGCTTTAATCATTACCAATATCATCTTATATGATTGCTTAGACTTAAAATTGCCCCAGGATATAAGTGCAAAAATAAACAGTATGAACATTTTTCTGCTTGGAATTTTTACTTGTTTCTCTGAACATGACATATTTTCATTCTACACTGGAATTTTAGTTATTGCAAAATTTACATGCATCATTAGAAAAGGATGTTCAAGATTAGAATGATGGCTGAAATATTATTAAACCACTAATAACCCAACAGAATCTAAACCATGAATAAAAGCTAAAATCATCAACCAATAGGACTGCTTAATATTTACAGACATTATTTATAATATTTATGTGTGTGCAAAAGTGAGATTTGTATTGATGGAAATCGACGATTCTAGGCCTACTTGAAATGTTTATGCAAAAGGATTCTGACATTTTGATTGTTCACTTAAGTAAAAATTAATGAAAGAATCATCATCATCATCATTATTATTAATTTTAGTATGGATCTACAGGGTCTCACTTTGTATGTCTGCGATTCTCCTGTTTTCAGCCTCCCAAGCCCTGGGATTGCAGATGCTCACCACCATGCCCAGTCTCAATCTCCAGCTCAGCATGCCCTGGGGGCGGTGCTGGCACAGCGCACAGGGAATCAAACCCGGGGCTCTGCACTCTCCCTAAGCAGGAGTGTAGTCTGCTGAGCTATCTGGCAGGCCCAAAGCATTATTATTTAATCCAGTTGTAAAGATTTCCAGAGACATTCAGTCATCAAAAATTTAAACATGGCCATCACTTTCTTAATTTTGACCTCAGAAGTGAAGCTGGTTGGTCAGATGTCAACTAACACAAGTTCCAAAACATTTCCTTTTCATTGCTTTAGGCATGATTGTGAATATCACTATATCTCATGCATCCTATCAGTCACATAAATGACCTTCTAATTTATCCATGTTTTTCCACATAATTTTTTTCCATAGTATTGATTTAGAAATATTTAGTTTTGTTATTAATACTACACTACACTATAATTCATATCTTTGCATTATGTTTGAAAACATACATAATATAGACTGATAGACTTTAGTTCTAATACATTTTTCACATATAATTATCTAGATATTTCTGCTAATAGAAAATAAGAGAACTTTAAAGACACTATTAATTATCTTTCATTCCGTTAAGGACATATCGAGGTTTGAGGGATGAAAGATCTTTCGGGCCTCAGGAAGGATTTCTCATCGCGGTCACCCCTGACCCTGACTTCTTTCACTGTGTAGCAGTAAATCTCTGCATCATGAGCAGGTGCAGCCACTAGTGCTGTGTTGTCTGCAGCCAATGTTTGTCTCTGTTATTTATCCCCATTCCTGGCATGATTCTGAATCAGGTCAGCCCATGGACAGGCACTAAAGGATACCATCTTTCCATTAATTTTAAATGACCTTTTAATCTAGATGTAAATTTGAATTCTATGAAAGGACATGAAATTTTACTAGCAGAGAGAGAAGAGAGTCAGGCCACATACCAAAGTCCTTAGATTTCAGAATATAGCATTATGGGTACAAAAATAACCCAACCCAAATATCTCACAAATATAAGACTAGAGAAAAATAATTTTTATTTTAATCAAACTCAGAGGTTTATGTGATATCTAAGATGCTATAGTTCTCAAGTCTGACAAACTTGAAAAAAATCTAGATCCTTTTCAACTTGCACTATGAATGCTTCTACCTCGATTAAGATTCAAAGTGCATATGTGCAAGTACAAATAATAGTTGTACCATTCATCAGTACTTCAGAAGTTATTTAATTAATTTAACTTAGTGAATGTATAATTAAAGTCAGAGGAATGTCAAAATGTGATTAGCTAAGTAAAAACTCATCTCTCTCACACTGGTAATATGAAAGATGATATATCCCCCTTTTCAGTAAAATAAAATTATTAATATTCATCAGAAGCAGTTATGTCATTATAAGATTAAATAAAAATATACAGATTATGTTTCTCAACAGAATGAGAGTTTTTCTTTAAAATAATGTATCATTGTATATTTTAGATTAAAACACATTGTATTTTATGTTCTTTTTGAAGCTTATAAATAGTTTTAATTCAAAGAGAATTCAATACCATCTGAGAATGCCACTTCACTTAGATTCAAAATTTAGAAGATAGGCATTGATTTAGGTCATTTAACAATCAGAAAATTTCTTATGATGTATGTCATCTTGAAACAAAAATATTTTCACGGGACAAGCGTATAGCAATATCGCACCATCAGTAACCTCCAGCTGAGCTTTTGCCAAAATGCTTCCTGCCACAGTTAGTGCCTGGCAGATGTAGTAGCCGGCGTCGGAGCGCTGAATGTTGGTGATTGTGAGGTCTCCAGTTGGTGACACAGAACATCGACTGTTGGGCTGCTGGGGTTGATTTGGGAAAAGCAGGTTCTGTGTAGACAAATAGAATGTTATCAATATTCTATTCCCACTGGGGAATAAATTACATTAGCAATTTTTGAAATTATGGGAGGATGGTGAAGAAAATACAGGTGTAAAAATATACCATACTGAAATAATAATACAGCACACATTGCTTTTGACTGGGAAAGTTTTTCCAAATATGGAAAGATGATATGCTCTATGGAGTAAGAGTAGTGTATCAAAACAATTCTACCATGTGTATTTTTTGGAAACACAGAGCTTAAAAAGTATTTAGCTTTTTTTTTTTACTACCAAGTAGTATTTCTACTTTTAGGGGATACAGTGCAATATTTGAACATATGAAGACATTATACACTGATCAAATAAAGGTAGTTATCATTTGCATATTTCAATCACTTACCCTGACCTTGTTAATTATTTAATATCTTTCAAACACAGTTTCCCCTTGTGAAAAGGGGGCAGAAAAATATTCCTGTGATTAAATTCTCAGACACTGTGAAGATGTAGACTGAAATATTAGCTATGAATGTGCTTGATCAACTCTATGTTGACAAAGAATACAGATTACAATAGCTGCTTTTCATTTTGAATATTTTAGGATGATTGAATTTACCTGAAAGATGCTCAAAAGCATGTGAATTTGTGAGACTGGAAAATAAAAGACCTGAATCTACTTCTAACACAAGATTGCTGAAGGCCATAACAGCTTCCAAAAGAGGCATGGCTGCACACTACATCCTAGGCAAGAGAAACCAATCACTGAAAAATTTAAAACGATGTAGCATAGCTCTGAAAGTGTACACGTCACTTCATTGAAATTTTCAGTATTACACTAAAAACTATTATA